TGAAAAACAATCGGTTCCTTTCGGAGACGTTTAATGTTAGAGTGCAAGAACGACAGTGTAAGTGTTTGAAAATTTTTAAGTGAAGAGTGACAGTGGTGTAATGAAAGTGCATTTGTGTATAAAAATCAATCGGCTGCTTTCAAAGACGTTTATTGATAGGACGTAGGAGCAACAATCTTAGTGTGTTAAAATTTTTAAGAGTGACAATGATCGTGCGGTGGATTGCGGGGTTCCTTCCCTGAACAGAAGATCAGCTGTGGCCTACCTGCGAGCGGCAAAGACGCTGACCCATTGACCGTGGCCCATCGTTAGCAGGTGCACTTGCGAATGAATGGGTAAGTCTAAATCTCTACAGTTTTTACATTTCCTTTTTAATTCAATATTCCCTGCGACTTGTTAATTCCTCATTTATCCTATCATCATTCATCAATTATCAACAATCTATCTCATCCATTCCACGTGAATAACGATTAAGTGTATTAATTGTTATTCATAATAACAAACGAACAACAATTTCCTTGCATTGTTATTAATGTAGTTTGTTATTCGTCATTTTCTTAAAACGCTTCGTTCCGAGCGGAGCGCTTGTTCAAACGCGAGAAAAGTCGCCCGGCTGTCTCCGAGCCAGCGCTCCCGAAACGGAGACCGCCTCAACCGAGCGCTCTGATTGGTCCGTGTTTTTTGTTAATAACTCGGTAACCAAGCCCCATTTCGTATTTTACCAAAGGAAATTGTTGTTCACAATGCTCCTCCCCATCTGCCATTTTCGGCTCTAACAATCTTTCCGGAACACCCTGTATTATGACCCACCGTTAATTCTAGCTGTTGATGCAACTAGTTACGGGGTCGGCGCGGAACTTTCAAATATTTATCCCAATGGATCAGAACGAATCATTCAATGCGCATCTCAAAAGCTAAACAATGTACAACAGAAATATGCAAATATCGATAAAGAAGCGTACGCGATCATATTTGGAATAAAGAAATTTCACCAGTACTTATTCGGCACGAAATTTACGCTGATTACGGACAATAAAGACACGCATTTTCGCATGGGGTATGTCCCGCATGTTAGTATTAGGCCACCAAAACCACGAAGAAGACATGTAATAGAATCCGATAGTCATGATTCGGATAAATAAATTCATGTATACTAATCGTTATAAAAAAGCTTACTTACATTGTTTCACTTTCACATACGATTCTGGAATAATAGTCGGTGACATAAAATAAACTCTGAGAAAAACTGCCGGTCAACAATGTGTTAAGTGTTAAGTTCAATTAAGATTTAAGTTAAATTAATAATGAATTAAGTATCGCATTTACCTCGCGAGCAAGGAAGTATTGGAAATAGGTAGACAATCCTTCGCTCAGCCAAAGATACTTCCACCATTTCGGGCTGACGAGATTACCGAACCATTGATGAGTGATCTCCTGAGCGATGATCGCGAGTATGTCAATCTTCCTGCGAGTTACGCTGAAAACATCGTCGTAAAGGAGAGTATCTTCCCTGAAATAGAAATTCGAGTTCAAAGGTGTCCAGCCTCATTGTCAAAAACTATACTCGCTGTCCCGATAGTTAAGTTTTTGATCGTTCTGCGCATGGCCCTCCCGTTTTACCACTTCTCAATGCTTTACCGTGCATGCCATACGTAAGCCGTGATTAATGAGATAGAGGAAGGGAGGCCAGAGACGTTCGCTGCGACCTCCACCACCTTTCAAGCTGCGCGAAACGGTCCTACACTCTCGGGACCGCGAGTATAGATTCAGCGAAAAGTAACCAATGTAACATCTACACTTTTTATCTAAAGCGGTATTACATTAAAACATTCTATTACTTGAATAGTATATTTCCTATTATAATACCGTAGGTAAATGTAATCTTACGCTTGTAAAAAGATGTACCTTGTGCTTGTCCAAAATGAAATCCATTTAACGATTAAACATAGTACTTGGAATGTTAAATTATAAGAGTAAGTACTAAAAACTTAAAAATTTATAATGTGTAACACGTTTTGGCAGAAAAATGTTTTAATTCGACACTACGTGTTTACTTATCTCTGTACCGCGAACACTTGTTGATCGTTAATCCCATCGAAAAAGCAATCTGTACTTCGAACCCACCATGACAGATCGATAAACAATAAAACCCGTTGCATTCTGATCGCGATGTGCATCACTTCTAAGTACCTGTAAATCATGAGACCCCAATTCTCGATGGCATCTGCTGGGTGTAAATCCTTCACCAAGACTTGATCTATTTTGTCTGGCATAAACGTTTGGTACGAAATATTCATGTACGAGTTCAGCTGTTCTAGAAGCTTCCTACCCATTTTCAAAGCATAGTCAGTCCCTTCTATCATGCTTTCTTCCGCCCACACCCTATAGGTGAAGTTGCCAACTTTATCTTCCTTAAATTGATTATCGCTTATCACGAATGCTAGCAAGTAAGTAGACATCGGTGGAGTTTCTTTGAATGAAGTGATCATCATGCCATCTTCTTCTTCTTTTTTCAGTACGTCCATGTTAGAGATCGCCTGCAGTGTCATAGCATGCGTCAAAGTGATGTTGAATTTCGCCTTGTAGGCAGGCTCATCCCAACATGGGAATACTAATCGAGCGCCCGTTGGCTTAAAATTAGTCGTTATGATGTATGCGCTGGAATGGAAAAAAATTGGGTTTTATTTAATTCGCATAGAGACAGATAGTAGTTTGTCAAAGAAGAGATGAGAATCTTATGTAATGTAACTAATTATCTGCCGTCTGTGACGTTGGATAAAACGCTTGAGTCCATCAAAATGGAAAGTAATTAAATATCAGAAAAGTGATTTGAATTGACATTTCAAAAGACTGAAGGGGTATCTAAATAAATAGGAGGCAGACATTTCTTCATGTCACAACTTAATATAAGTGCAGTAGGTTCCATCTATATTCGTATCTATTTCTGAATTGAATAAGTTTCTTAATATTGGAATGAACAATTTAATTTTTTTTCGCATAGTTTGCTGTACAAAATAAATGATCCGATTTCTATTCAAGTCCCAACTTTTACTCATTGATGTATCTTTATATAATTTTATACGTGACTTTAAATTTTTTAACATTTATTACGTATCTCTTTTCTTGGAGATCCATCACGAATGTTTTGCTACGCATTAAAGTAAATATTCCAATTTCTACTTACTATTTTTCTATAATTTTATATGCCATCTTAAAATGATAGAAACATGAGCCAGTGAGTATAAATTGGGACATGAACAGAATTTAGGACATTTATCTTAATGTGTAACAAAAAATTGCTGTTCGTCAGAATCACTACGAAAATTTTGAAAGATGCTTTTTGTACAATATTTATATGCATCGTACTGAATTTGATAAAAGTCGTTTACGGTTCATCTGGCCATAAGATAAAATAGTGCCACATACAGAGTATCCCAAAAATATATACGTACACACGCGTTACATAATCATAAAGACGGTGTTTATTCAAATATATTTCATTTTCAAAATGTAATACAATCTGCAGACATTATTTAATAAGTGTATACACACTTTTTTAGGACACCCTGTATTTGAAATTCTGCAAGTGAACAGTTATTCACGCCAAATTTGAAAGAAATTGAGAAACTCATTTTGGAATTATATCAATTTCAAATTAATATGTATTAGTGACGTGAAACTAAATTAAATTGAATAAAAATAGTGTTAGTATTTTGAAATTTCCTACATTCATAACTAATTATAGAATACTGGCTGATTATCCGGCGTTGTTGGGGTGTTTATTTTCCCAATCTTCTATCAGGCAAAAGGAACATATTTGTTATGTACCGTGTCGACTAACGGTCTTCGATTGTATTAGAAGATTTAAACCAATATGAAAACAAAGTTTGTACACAATTTATACTGAGATGTAAACTAAGTTCGAACACCGGCTATGTTTAATCTAAATCGAAAAATTTAAATTATTTGGCATCTGTTAAGAATTTTGAAAAAAGTATAAGAATCAATTGCAGAACATAAAATGTTCTGTAACTTTTATTCCAAACGTTTCTTGATGCGAACTATTATATATTAATACTGCATGCACATAATAACAGAGTTATAACAGATTCTCATTCTGATCATCGGGTTTTCGATATTTTCGTGTTCTCATACACCTCATCTATTAAATATTCCATAAACTGACACACTACAACTTCTGCAATATAATTCCTCATTCCTTAACCTTGACATTAAATTAACTAATTTACCATTCATTTTGTTTTTATTTCGAATTAAATCAGTTAATTTCGTTCTTCTATTTATTATTTCTTTACTCTTTCTCAATTTGTATTTTGTTAAAATATTGGCATCTGCTTTATTTTTATGTTTATATTTTTGCCATTTATTGTTAGTATCTCAAATTTGTCACACTTCTTTTGCTTTCCTCTATATATTCCAAGGAGCTTATGCTCGTTAATTATAATAGTAATAACAATAATGATAATAATGATAATAATAATAACTTACATGTCTCCACCCTTTCGCACGACTCTGCTCACATAAAGTCCTCTCATATTGTCGTTGAAAATTCCATTGTATTTTATTTTAAGCGAGTAGTGATGATCCTTTTCAAAGTGGGGTTTTGTTGTGATGCTCAGGATCTGATGCTTTGGGTCCGTTATGTAGTAATTCCATAAAGTCTTCGTTGTATTCAAATCCATGAAGTTAATATCGTGGACTGTTAAATCTTTTAAGTTCAACGTCAAGATATTGTTCGTGATCAATGCTACCAACGTGATCTCCACTTCACCCTCAAATGTAAATGTCTCCAAATCAGGCGTGAGGTGCAATTTGTATGCAGTCGGAATCACGCCGGGCGGCAGTCTGTATTTCAAATCCACGTCGACGGTATCTTCGAGCAGTAAACTCGCCCGGCAGATCCCCAGGACGAGGAGAAACGTTACGAAAGTTCTCTCCATTTTAGATTCGCTGGCCAGTATCCAGCATCCACCGCCGTTTCCTAGATTATAATTGCTGTTTAACGAAACAGTATTACTGCCGAGAACGCACCACCTTTTAACACCTTGAACCGTCGGGCACGCGATATTTACTAAATTACTTTCAGCGGTACATAATCGGTCGCCGCGTTCCGTGTATAGGTTCAAACGGATAAATACAAATAGGGAACCGTTCGCGCACTGCAATAAACTTACGACTTTTATCTCTTTAACCGTTATACAGAGTGTTTATAAAATCATGGTACAACCGACAAAGGGATGATTCCTCATAAAATCTAGTCGAAAACAAGGAATATAGTTTTTTCATACGGGGCGTCATTTTCGAGAAGATCGAGTTTGAAAATTCGTTAGATACGCGACTTTAATTAATAATTAACCGTAAATTTCAATAATTTATTTGATCCAGTAAATTACAAATGTTGAAAATGTCTTCCTTATTGTTGTAGGCACATTCTTGCTCGACGAATTAGTGAAGCGTGAATAAAAACTATTGTGTTCGAGATTTTAACTGCTTCGAATGCCTGAACGATATTACCTTTTAATTAGTTCCGATTTTGATTATTTTCGGCATAAACTATTTCTTTCACGTGACTCAACAAATAAAAATCTAAAGGAGTAAGATCTGGCGATTCTCGGGTGCCACGCAACAGTTCCACCTCGGCCAATCCAACAGATGGTTCTCTGGTACCTCTGGTTTAATAAGTACAAACTCGATTTTCTCGAAAATGACGCCCCGTATGGAAAAACTGTATTCCTTGTTTTCGACTAGATTTTATATGAGGAATCATCCCCTTGCCGGTTATACCACGATTTCTCAAATGTCCTGTATATGTATAATTTGCAAGTATTTATCAGTGCCAAGTTAAAAAATAATAATTGTAACTAGCATCTTGTACTGGTCGGAGAATCGCGCGTTTGTGAATTCGACCTCGTTTTCGTTTTGTTACATTATCTTTTGAAATCGTTGGAAGTAGAATTAGCCTGATAACATACCTTATGAACGAGCAAACGATGAGATTCGGGTACCGTAAAAGGGGTGTATTCACACATCAGCGGGCGTCGTAAGACAGACAACACTCCTACAGGTGTTTGTACTTTATAAGTTGGCTGCGGACGGATAGGGGGGCGGTAGGGGTAGAATTTCGTAATGTCATCGATCGACATCAACTTGAAATTTTAACGGAGTGTTCTACTTTTGCTTTGTTGTATAATGAACTAGGATACTTTCGGTTGGATGAAATCACTTTTTTAAGGAAAAGTCACAATTTTTTGTCAAAACTCCGCTATTTTGTTAGATTTTAACAATTTTCAAATATCCTAGTTTATTATACGGAAAATACCTTCTACTTTAACAGCGTATTCTTTTTTTCTTTCCGGCAATTTAGCAACCAGTATCACTATAACAGTGGAGGTACTTTCTTTGGGGGATCTCGGAAGGTAGCACATAAGTCGGTCGCACTTCAATATTTTCATACGAAAAAATTAATTTATACAGTTCAATTACAAGTAAATACATCCCTAAAGTTTAAAAGCATTCAATGGAATACTACATTTAAAAAAAATTCCGAACATCACTTAAATTTTGAGCGGTGACACTGCTATAGCCTTTTAATCAAACATGTTAATCGTGCATTGAAGAAATGATCTTACTACTGTAGCTAAATTGTTGACCGAATTGACAAGCTCGCAAGTGAATGTTATTTATACTAATTTTCGCGAAACAGTCGACACAGTCACTCCCTTCTGCTTTCTAAATTGTATGCATTAACTAATAAAATATGATAATGTTTACTCGAGACCTATCTTGTTAAATCTAGGATCACTCAAGACTCTCATATTGGATATCTTATTTTTAATATTCACATTAATCGCTATTTGCAGATGACCTAAAAATGTATCATTCAATTATTTGCAATTATAATCGTATACGACACGACTTGAATAGACTTCAGTTTTAGACTATGGCGAACTAGTATAGTTAAAAGCAAACTCGTAAAAACTTTTGTTTTAGCAGATAGATTAAGATTGTGTTCACCGTAAAATGTCTGTCAAAAAATGAAAGAAGAAATTATGCATAATACTTGAACCGATAAACTTTTAGAAAGAATGATATTTACAGCGAAGGTTTATAAAATTGTTCGACATCTTTCTTTAAGTCACAGGCAATTTTCAATGTAATTTCTAATATTCTAATACATAGTTGTTGCACTTTTTTTCGGATTATACCTGACTTGCAATAGTCTACATTATCCACAAGTACTAAAAGTTATAATTTTGTGTACTTTTTATTACATGTTATAAATAATATTTTTAAAGTTGATAATAATATTTCAATTTTAAAATGTTCTCACAACATGTATTAATCCATTTATATCGTGAGCTTACGTATCCGCGGAATTTTCCTAGCCATTTTCCTTGCCGAATCGCACTGCGTTTACAGTTCAAATTTATGTATCTACTTGTCTTTCTGCGAAGTCTTTTATTTGTTTTCTTTACCTTTATTATAGACGATGACGTCGAAGCTGTCAAGTATTTTTATAGGGATGGTCACGTCCAGACTTATGGGACGTTTCTTCAAGATTCCGCAAAGCCCATCGCCCATTGCATGCTCTCCACAACGAATACCTGGTCCAATCGCAATTCAGGTTCTATCTGAATTTCATAATTTCATCATTAGTTGCCGTATTGAAAATTATATCTAGACTTGGTAGGTAGTAATGACTGTAGAATATTTGATTCTCACAACTCGTTCTTTAAGCGATACTATAGGAAATGACCTATTCACGTCACAGTTTCTACTCACTGGCTTGTTTTTGTATAATTTTGTATTTAATTTTAAGCTAGTGAGCTGAACTGCACTATTAAGGAATCTTGAATTGATGTAGTTCATTATTATTGTTAAATATAAACTGGAATTAAAGTAAATGTTCCAATTTCTGTTCGGGTCTCAATTTCTACTCATTGGCTTCTTTTTCTATTTTGGTGTCTGGCAACAGCCATGCGTTCTTTTAGGCTGGCGTTTTTCTATCTTAATTCTTTGCAATAGTCTACATTATCCACAAGTACTAAAAGTTATAATTTTGTGTACTTTTTATTACATGTTATAAATAATATTTTTAAAGTTGATAATAATATTTCAATTTTAAAATGTTCTCACAACATGTATTAATCCATTTATATCGTGAGCTTACGTATCCGCGGAATTTTCCTAGCCATTTTCCTTGCCGAATCGCACTGCGTTTACAGTTCAAATTTATGTATCTACTTGTCTTTCTGCGAAGTCTTTTATTTGTTTTCTTTACCTTTATTATAGACGATGACGTCGAAGCTGTCAAGTATTTTTATAGGGATGGTCACGTCCAGACTTATGGGACGTTTCTTCAAGATTCCGCAAAGCCCATCGCCCATTGCATGCTCTCCACAACGAATACCTGGTCCAATCGCAATTCAGGTTCTATCTGAATTTCATAATTTCATCATTAGTTGCCGTATTGAAAATTATATCTAGACTTGGTAGGTAGTAATGACTGTAGAATATTTGATTCTCACAACTCGTTCTTTAAGCGATACTATAGGAAATGACCTATTCACGTCACAGTTTCTACTCACTGGCTTGTTTTTGTATAATTTTGTATTTAATTTTAAGCTAGTGAGCTGAACTGCACTATTAAGGAATCTTGAATTGATGTAGTTCATTATTATTGTTAAATATAAACTGGAATTAAAGTAAATGTTCCAATTTCTGTTCGGGTCTCAATTTCTACTCATTGGCTTATTTTTCTATCTTGGTGTCTGGCAACAGCCATGCGTTCTTTTAGGCTGGCGTTTTTCTATCTTAATTCTTCTATTTTGTTTAATATTCTTCATCAAGGTCTGGTTTTGGTCGCTATCTCTTATCTCTGTTTATTATACTCAACCACTGTCTTCGAATGTGATCTTATGCATGTTTCTTTTCCTTTCTTTCCATCGTTAAGGGAAATCGAAAATAATAAGCTGGCGAAAGTTCTTCCGTTCGGATTATGGTAGGGTTTTTACCTGCGTACAATGTGCTACGGCAAAAGGCAATCCAGGCGTCGATGGTTGGTAGCTCCAAGTCGCGGAGGTACCGAGTGTTTAACACGTGGGGAATGTTGTAAATATGACAAGGAATCGAAGGTCGGGTTTCTTTCAGAGATGCTACAAACATTTTCACTAACGAATTTGGCCATCGAGTGGGGAAAATTCTCCCGAAGGAAAGTTGTGAGAGACGGTTCAGTAGGTATCGAGTCGTGCACCTCAACTCAATGACGGATCCCGAAAAATCCAACAGTGTATTACGAAATAATCCGAGTAATCGCCTAACGCGAAGATGGTTATCCGCCGATTCCGATAAAAACAGCGTCATCTCGATCGAGTCACGCCCTTCGCGCATTGTGTAGTTCACGGATAGTGAAGTTTATTTTGTGAATGAAAAACGATCGGCTCCTTTCGGAGACGTTTAATGTTAGAGTGCAAGAACGACAGTGTAAGTGTTTGAAAATTTTTAAGTGAAGAGTGACAGTGGTGTAATGAAATTGAGTTTGTGTATAAAAATCAATCGGCTACTTTCAAAGACATGTAATGATAGAACGTAGGAGCAACAATCTTAGTGTCACAAAATTTTTAAGAGTGACAATGATCGTGCGGTTGATTGCGGGGTTCCTTCCCTGGACAGAAGATCAGCTGTGGCCTACCTGCGAGCGGCAAAGACGCTGACCCATTGACCGTGGCCCATCGTTAGCAGGTGCACTTGCGAATGAATGGGTAAGTCTAAATCTCTACAATTTTTACATTTTCTTTTTAATTCAATATTCCCCGCGACTTGTTAATTCCTCATTTGTCCTATCATCATCCATCAATTATCAACAATCTATCCCATCCATTCCACGTTAATAACGATTAAGTGTATTAATTGTTATTCATAATAACGAACGAACAACAAT